ACACATTCATCTTCGCAGAAATGGCGACAGCAAAGTCATAACCAAGGCAACCGCCACCCCAGCCAGGACTCACTGCTTCCTCAGCACAGAGCTAGGCCATGGGCCAGCCAGTGTCCAGGCAGGAGCCACTCGGCCCCATCCCAGCCCCAGGCAGGACCCGCACTGTACCCACACCTCCACCCGAGGAGCCGGGGCAGCACCCGCTGGGTGCAGGGGGGAGGCAGCACCGGCCCAGGGGCACTCAGCTGGGGTGGGCTGAGCAAAACAGGGGCCTGGAAGCAGAATTTTTTTTTTTGGTGTGTTGTTTTGCTTTGAAATTCTTTGGAAGCCCAACTCCAAACAAACAAGGACATTGTCTCGGGAAACACGTGGAAGCTGGAATCTGGTTGAGAAAACCCACGGGATCAAAGTCCCCGGAGGTCAGGGATTAGCTGCTGAGCAAGGTGGGTCCGCCGGGAACGGTGGCAGCCCCCTGCCAGGCACGGGTAGGGCAGGGGCGGCTCCTCTCCTTCGCGCCTGTGCGCGAGTGCTGTCACTTCAGAGCAAAGCCTGCCCTGGTCACCAGCCGTGCCTTGCCCCCCCGGAGCGGTACAGGCTGAAGGGGGCTGCGGGGTCCAGGGGTTCATGGGGCCCTGCCCCGCGCCACCCTGCTCGCAGTGGCGATGCTCAACTGGTCCAAGCAGATGCTGGGTGCCAGTGGAGCAGAGCCTCCGCATGCCTCGGAGAGCGGCTCTACCCCCGCGCAGGCACGTGCCTTTCCGTCCCCAAGTGCAAGCGGACATGCCATGCCTGCCAGGATCCTCCCTGGTCAGAAGCAGCACTGGATTTCCACACAGAGCAGAGGAGAGGGAGGGCGGAAAGGGAGGAAGGACAAGACAAGATCCCCTTGTTGCAATTCAGCGTCGGCAGGAAGGACGAGCCCTCCCCTGCACCGCTCCCGCACCATCGCACGCCTGCTTGTGCCCCGTCCTCCTCCCGAGGCTGAGCCCGGAGGGTGCTCCAGCAGGCGCTCAGCACCCAGGGAGCAGCCCCAAGGGAAGCTGAGCTCCAGCGGCTGGGTGGGAAGGTGCCACCTCTGCGTTCCCCGTGGGGATGGGGACAGGCTGGACCCCTGCCCGGTGAGTGGCCACGCCATCCCCACACCTGCCTTCAGCGGGTTCGGCTGCTCTGCAGCACTAGCCAGGAGCTGCCTTGGCCAAATGGCCACCGGCGCCGAGCCCCACGCCTCCTCCCTGCCACCTCCCTGCTGGAGAGGTGTCCAGGGCTTCCCAGCCGCTGCATTTGGCTCAGACTGATGGCGGAGAGAAAGAATTCCATTCCAACATGAGGTGGTTTTTTGGGATTTTTGTAAGAGAATTAGATGGAAGACTTCACTAGCCTCTGATTTTTAGTGTGTCCCCAGAAAAAGACCTGGGGGTAGGGAAGCGGCCAGCTCAGATCAACTGAGAAAATCGCTGCCTGTGAAAAATGTCCATGGGCAGCATGTATTTGGGAACCAAGGGACAGTCACCATGAAAAAGTGTGTCGGTACTCAAGACTGCGGATAGAAAAAAGGGATTGCACTTTAGCAGTGCAAGGACCAGGGGAAAAGCAAAGCTTCAGAGTACAGTGGGTCTTGCCAAGCCCTGTTAATAGCATTCATTTAACACATCTCCCACAACACAAGTGACACTAATCTCTCTGCAGGAAAGGAGCGGGGACAGAAAGGCAGGGAAGCAGGGCTGCTATCAGAGCTGGGCTGTGACATCTCACCAGCCCAGACCTACCCCTGACAGCTGGGGGCTGCTAATTTCCAACCCTTCAGGATCAGTCTTCCCCCATCAGATGCCAACTCAAGCCCCATTAGCAGCAGGCACCAGGGAAGCCTGACTCCTGCTGTTTGCAGATAATGCCATAAAGAAGCAAATAAAGAGGGAAACCACTAATTGGATTCACAGGTTCCTCCAATGTCCTGACAGAGAGGAGCAGGGGAGTGACATTATCTCCTCATCACAACCCCCAGCATCGGACCCAGGGCTGGGGGAAACTCATCTCTCCGACTCGTTTGTGCTCATGAACAAACCCTGCCCCACAAGGACATTTCCCTGCACACCTCCAACCCATGGCGACCCAGGTGAGGCTGGGAGGGACACGAACGCAGCCCCACGCCAGCAGCCGCCTGCCGAATGCAGCGCAGAGCCGCACAGCCTGCCAGGAGCACACGGCAAAACTGTGTAAGGACCGTTCCCTTGGGAAACGGGAATAAAAACCAACCAGTGCCACGCAGCCAACGAGCAGCTTGGGGCAGCCCCACTCCCACCACCTCTGCGCCCCAGCCTGCCACCAACAGCACCTGCAGCACCTACACGTCCCCACTGCAGGTCTCTGCCACCGTCCCCAAGGGAGGGCAGAGGTGGCAGCTCGGCCGGTTGACAGAGGGGGTGAAGGGAGGCCTTTCATCACACCCTCCCCGGGCAGGAGGAAGATCTGCCGGGAGACACACAGGAGCCGCGTTCTCGCTCCTTCCGAGGCGCGTTGGACTGTTATTGCTAACGCAGTGTTTCCAGACAGCACGCGTCTGTCCAGGTAGCACGAACCCACCCAGAGTGCAGTCTGCAGGGAAGGAGGCTAATGGCATGACCACATCACGAGCCGACATCTCGGGGCTGAAAATGAGTGCCCAAGTGCGTGGTTTTGCTCTGCAGCCCCAACCTGAGGTCGGAGGGACCCCTTTACTGCTCCTCTGCAAGCAGCCCCTGCCCAACAGCAGCAGGGACCAGGAGCTGCTGGGCCTCCCTTCCCTGCAGATGGGACTGCTGCCTTCACCCCAGGGCAAGGGCCGGTGCTTTCCCACCCAGGTCAGCTGAATTCCCCTCTTCCCATCCTGAACTATCACAACTGATCAGGAGGCCAAGCAAAGGCACCTTTTCTTGTTGGGACTTGAACACACTCTTATTACGAGCTCCCTTCCCCTCCTGACCATAATTAAAAGGTCGTGTCTCAGATTAACTTCCTGGAGCTGGAGCAGCCCCAACAACCGCCCCAAAAGCCTGCCAGGCCGATGGCCTCACCTGGCTATGGCAGAGGGGCTGCAGTCAGTGCTGCAGGTCCTGATCCTGCACTGACGCCTCCGTGCCGCTCGCTCGTGGTCAGGGTGGTTGCTCCTCCTGCAGCCACCTCGACTCGCACTGATCCCTGGGGCTGCTGCGCTCTCAGCCTCACGCCATCCACAGCCAGGTGAAGGCACCCCACAAAGCTCAGGACCCTCCCAGCGTGGGGACCTGGCTGTGGAAAGGCACCCGGGCTGACTTCAGGAACACCCTGAAACCTTTCACCCGAATCCCAGTGGTTTCCCTTCCCCTGGGCCAGCCACGGCTCATGGCTCACGTGCTGTCCACAACCCACAGCCCCCGCTGCAACGTCCTGCTGCGGGAAATTACAGCGTTAAAACGGAGCTCAAGGGGAAGCAGTGCGCGGCCAGAGCTTTACACGGCACTGCCGTCTGCGCCTCCACTGAACTACGGGGACACCAAACTCAGCCCAAGGAAGCCTTAAGAGAGGAGCCACGTAACAGCAGACCTCCTTAAACCATAGGGGGGACAGCAGAAAGCAGAGCCGAGCCCTGTCTTGCCTAATTTCAGGCTATGGCCTGCAAGAGCAAAGGGTGAGGCCTCTCCCTAAAAATACACACTGCCCTAAAAATACACAGTGCAAGCTTAAATTAACCATGCTGCACACACCCTCGGCAGGGCGCAGCGACCGGAGCCCGATGAGCCCCAGCCCCAACACAGCCCGAGGGGTGGCAGGAGCCTGCGGGTCCCCAGCTCACACCCCGCGCTTCAGCCAGGGCTTCGGTCAGTTCCCCTTCGGCAGCGGGGCACTGCAACATTGCCCCCAGCAGAGAAACACCCCCGGCTCCGCCATCCACCCAAGACCTTTACTCATTTGCAAAGATCAGTTCATACACGTTCGTCTAATTCGCTAGGTTGGCTATTGCTCATCACATGACCCCACCCGCGTCTCTGCGGAAGAAGGGGATCCCTCTTGCATCAGGCACCGCACAGTCTCCCCCTGGAAGCACCCCGACCTTCAGGAGGCAAAAGACAGTGGGAGGATGACGCCAGGGAAGCCAAGGGCTGCAAAACCTGATGGAGACGCACTGCAAACCCAGACACCCCCAGTCCCACCCTGACCGACTCGGTCTGTGGTTCCAAAGGATAGAATCAGCGACACAACAACACTGGGAGAGTTTCCCACATCCTGGCTGTACGGCTACGGCACCCACCCACCTCCCCTCTCACAGGGACCCCACCAACCCCATTGCCCTGCACCTACGAGAGCACACGAGAAAGGTGCCTGGAAGCCCACGGCTTCTGCCGGGACCCCTCCCCGGGCAGAGGCTCTCAGGAGAGCAGGCATGGGCACGGGCCTCAGTCAAAGAGCACCAAAATCCAAGCAAGTAACTCTCTTTCCCATTCTGGCTGCTGAACTGGGACCAGCAAGCCCAAACAGGAGACAGAGCCGTAACCACACTCTTTATGGCTGGGGAGACACAAGTGGAATGAAACCAGCATCTGCCACTCATGCCAGTGACTCATGCGGCCGCCTGAAGGGAGGCACTTTTTGGTCAGGATTTTATTCTCAGTCACTACTTGAGGTGGGAACCAACGCCTGGTCTGGCCAGGGGAATGCAAGGCAAAAACCAAAAGAGGAAGCAAAGAGAACTGCCATCCCCAAACCTGCTACGCAGGTACCATCTCTGCTCCTCGCTGTATCGTTTTCTCCTCATACACTCACAAAGAAACCACAAAACTTGCTAGAAATAAGAGGGAAGGAAAAGGAAAGCCAAAAGTTAGGTTTGTGCTGAAGCCTCGGTGCCTGGCCCCATGCAAAGCTGCCTCCTACCAAAATACACCCCCACTTCACCTGCTGCTGGCTGGGGGTGCTCAGGCTGTCGAAAGGAGATGGGGACTGGGCAAGCAAGGACTGGAAGCAAGATCCAAAGGGGAGCAGGCACTCACGGTGTAGGCTGAGGGAGATGTTGATGGAGCGCTCTTCCACGAAGCCCTTCAGGTTGGGGATCTTGGCACACTTGAGAATGGTCTGGGAGGCACTGTCGCCCACGTGAACCCAGCACACTGTGTCTTCAACGTAGTTGAAGTCCATGGCCGTGGTCTGCTTGGCGCTGGTGGGGGTGATGTTGGGCACAGGGGCTCCGCTCAGGTAGGTGGCCAGGATGTTCTGGGAGTTGGCAATGAGCAGCACGGGCGGGCGGTCCACGGGCTCTGGAGGGGAAAGGAGGGGAGAAGGGTGGTCACGGCAAAGCACCCGAAGCTCGTGGCTGCAACGCCGTATCAGCCTGCAGCCCGGCCCTTCTGCTCCAGCAAAAACAAGACGGCGACACACAGCCCAAGACGGGCAAGGAGGTGGTAGCTCAGGCCAGTCCTCAGGGAAGATCACCGTGAAGTGAAGAACCCGGGGCAGGGGTAAACATACAGCAGGAGGCCACAGTTTGCAGAGCTGCCCAGAAGCAATATGCTCCTCCTGCCAAGGATCTCACCATTCTTGGCTTTGCAGGATCTATTATCGGGCTGCAAGAGGTATCCTTCAACACAGCTACACGTGTAGGAGCCCTCTGTGTTGGTACATGTCTGGCTGCAGGTCCCATAGATGGTGCATTCATCAAAGTCTGGAAAAGAAGCAAAAAGCCCAAGGTTTGGACCAGCAAACCTTCTCCTTAGCTGCCTTAAGAGGGAATGAAGGCTCCCATTTTCTCCAAGGTAGAGCTGCAGGGGAGGATACGATCCCCAAGCTGAAGGGACGGTCCCAACAGCCTCCAGAGGAATATTTGGCCGACATCACCTCACGACACCCGTGGGCAGTCCCCAGCTTTCTGCTCCTGCATCAGCAGCAAGGCAGCAAAAGGACTGTCCCTGCCTCGCAGACGAGCCTTTTCAAGGCCTAATTATCTACTGCCCCTCCCCCCCACTCTGCAAAATCTGCACCTAAATTTCCAGTCTGAATTTCTCTAATCTTCAGCTTCCAAACCCCTGGCTTGCACGCTGCTCTTTCTTCTGCTAGATGAAAGAGCAGTCTCCACCGGAGCGCTCTTGCCCCCAGAGGGGCGTGCAGGAGCTGATAAAGGCCCCTTTCACCTCCGCTCAGATAAATGAAAGCGACGGAGCCGCTGCAATCTCTCACTTCCAGACTTGTTTCCAGGCATCACACTGATCTGATCGCTCCTCGCTGACCCTCTCCTATTTTCCAGCATCCTCTCTGAGGCACGGACACCGGGAGCGCATACAGGCCCAGCAACGGCCCCTGACTCTGTATACAGAGACAAAGCCTTCTCCTTACTCCCCCCTCCCAATATTCCTCACTCGGGCTTTCAGGAGGAAAGCATTCAGATAAGGGCCCCACGGCAGCAGGGAGGCAGAGTCCCATCCCGTCAACCCCCTGTGCTCCCCCGTGAAGGTCAGGGTCTGCCCCAAGTCCCTTCGGCCGCACGGCTGAGCCCCAGCACCACTGCCAAAACGGCCACATCGGCCGCAGCCCGCGGGCACTGTGCCGGGGCTGCCGGCTCTGCCCGCCGCGTACCAACCTTTGCAGCTCCTCCTGTCCTCAGCCAGCTGGAAGGAGTTGTTGCAGTAGCAGGCTGGTCCGTTCAGCGTCGGCACGCAGTGGTGCTGGCAGGCCAGGGCCGTGCAGTTTGGTAACTGTTCTGAGGTGAGAGGGAAGACGGAGGAGAGAGGATGTCACCCATGTGCGAGCAGGGATGCTTGGGTGAGGGACAGGATGGATGCCCGGGCCCTGGCATTGGGTGAAGGGGACCCTCAGGCACCCCACGAGGCTTTGCTGGGGCCTCCATGCTGTCCCCCTACTCCCTGGTGGGGAGGGAAGGACTGAGACCCTCAGCAGAGGGAGAGGAGGCCATAATGGATATGTGGCTGCTCCACGAGAGGGGGGGTCTGAGCAGCCCCAGTGTCTCCCAAAGCCACTGACTCTCCACTGCTTCCTGCTGGGAGCCCGTTGGGGCCGCGGCCAGCCAAGACCCGGC